ATATATACTGCATGAAATTTCTCATTTCTTTGGACTTGCTGTGGACTGACCACACAAGTGCCTTCTGCTATCCGGAGAGCAGAATAAACTCTTTCTTTGACTTCCTCCCTCCCTCCCGGGAGCAACGCAGACCCCACCAGTCGGTAAAGTCTAATAAGGCTACACAACAGCTATCAAAGATGCATCAGTTTGCACAGCCATTTCCTGAGCCTTAGTTCTGGTTCCCTGACTCTCCGGTTACTGTAACGATGCTTTAATGCTGATTAAAACAAGTTCAATACAGTGATACCTTGGTTTACAACCATAATCCGTTCCAGAGGTCCGGTTGTAAACCAAAACAGGTTGTAACCCAAGGCACGCTTTCACCAATGGGGCCTCAAAAAAAATAAAAATGGGTTGTAATCCAAAAAAAGGGACACACACTTCAGGGTTTGAGGTGGTTGTAATCCAAAACAGTTGCAACCAAGGTACCACTGTACCTTGCTACACAAATACAGTTGTCACAATACACAAAGCACAACAGGCTGAATGATAATAACTGTGAAAATTTTACTGGTTATTTCCTATCATAAAGGTCTAGTCCAGTATGTGCAACATATACAGTTCATATGTATGGTGTATAACCTATGAGGCTAAGTCCAATGTTAATACATTTCTTCTTTTCTTATCTTTTCTTACTGCTTCTTGTAAGTTCTTGAACGTTCCTGTATAACACAATCCTTAGGTAAAAACAGAAAAGTCCCCAAGGTAATGCTGATTAAAGCTATGCTGCTGATGATTTATTATCAGAATATTTAATTGAACTCACCTAAACACAGTTATGTTGGTGTGCAATAGTAACAAGAAGGGATTTGTTTATTTTTGTAGTTTGTTGCACAATTAATTCCATGCGTGTCCAATGGGACATCTGGCTTACATTTATTCAGTAGGAAATTTCCGTGCCACATAGAAAGCCACTTTTGAGACAGAGATTTTCAAAAGTTATTTGATATGGAAGAGGGATGTGGTTTAACGGGAAACATAAAAAATTCATTGAGTACGTCCAAGCTCTTGACCATGCCTAAAGCAGCTCTTTGGCTTTTCTAGCAGAACCCTTGTGTTCTACTTCGTCCTTCCGTTACAGCCTAGGACCCTCGTACCTACGGGACCGCCTCTCCTGGTATGCCCCGCGGAGGACCTTAAAGTCAACAAATGACAACACTTTGGAGGTCCCAAGTCACAAGGTGGTTAGATTGGTCTCAACTAGGGCCAGGACCTTTTCAGTACTGGCCCTGACTTGGTGGAACGCTCTGTCACAAGAGACTAGGGCCCTGCGGGACTTGACATCTTTCCGCAGGGCCTGCAAGACAGAGCTGTTCTGCCTGGCCTTTGGTTTGGACTCAGTCTGACGCTTATGTTTCCCTCCCCTTATGGTTTTGATCTATGGGCTACTTTTAAAATGAGGCTGTATTTTAACCTGTATTTTAAATTGGTTTCCCCCCCCCCTTATGTTTTTATTGTAATTTTACTGGTGGTAGCCGCCCTGAGCCCGGTTCTGGCAGGGGAGGGAGGGGTATAAATAAAATTTATTATTATTATTATTACATGAGCCCCTGCCACAAATGTATTCAAACTTTATTCTCTACTTTATGAACAGTTTATCCTGCTATATTTCCACCCCAAATAACCTCATCTGCCTTAATGTGTAACTCCAAATAATGTACAAAAGCATCAAATAAGCAAAGAAAACTAAATTGCATCTAGGAGTAATCACTGAAACAGAAACCTGCTCAAAAGTAACACTTTTGATCATTCTCTTTATCATTGGTAGGGTGAAAGAGAAATGGAAAGGAAAAAATAAAATTAATGTACATCATACATGCAATTTCAGAACCTTATACAAAGTTAAAGAAAAGATTTTAGTGCTCCAAGATTGCAGGAAATATACTTTTCAAGCTAAAGCAGTTTTTCCTCCTGAGGATTAAAATACTATTTGAGATTACTTTTTTGTTCCGCATATCAAGGAGGAATAAGGAGTAGTCCATCTACTTCATAAGAAAGAGTTCATACTGCTCAAATCATACGTAAGATAGTAAACTGACAAGCACTTACAAAAAATGATCTGGTACAATTACATGAAATATTTAGAAAAAAAATCACCTCAACTAAAATGTTTGCTTGATACATGGAGTAATGTGATAAATATGCAAACTTAAAGTGAAATATTTTGTACGTACTAGTTTAAACACCTGGAAAACGACAGACACTTATACAGTAAATAGCTCTAGAATTGTAATTCTATGCCCGCTTACATAAAGGTAAGAACAACTGAGCACATTAGGATTTACTTTTGAGTAAACATGCATGATTGTCTGTCAGACTGATAGATATAAAGCCCACAGTTAAATGCTACATGAACTTAGTAATAAAATGTCTCACATAACATTTTAGTCAGGATCTGCACAAGCTGTAATCTTTTGTTACTTTGAGACGGGGCACAAACCATCAAGAAGTTTGTGCAGATGGTCCCTAAAAATTTCCAGGGGAAACACTGCTGTTTACACCTGAGTCAGTCAGGATTTCTCCAGGTTGACATTTGCTCCAATGCAGTGCTAAAGAAAGGTTTGGGGGGGCAAGAAGACAAAACCGCTGGGACCTGTAACTTCATACTCCAGTAACATGTAAGTTACTGACATTCAGAATACAACAAAAGGATGGAAAGGAAAAGGCGAGGGTAACAAGGAATCGCTTTAAGCAAATACAGTTAACTCATGCTAAGGTTTTGTCCTTGTTAAGCCAAAGACTTTAAGGAAGAACTGGATTCTACAAACTCGAAGCTACAAACATGAGTCTGACCAAACTGCGGGAGGCGGTGGAAGACAGGAGTGCCTGGCGTGCTCTGGTCCAGGGGGTCACGAAGAGTCGGACACGACTAAACGACTAAACAACAAACAAAAGAGTTGGAAGGGATCCCGAGGGTCATCTAGTCCAACCCCCTGCAAGGAGAGGTTCTTAAGAGAGGGCATGCAACAAACCTTGCATGCAATAAACCTAATAACACACACACACCCCAACTTTTGCTTTTCCTTCCATTTTGCCAAATTAAATTTCCATTTAACTCAGAGGCTTGCAGGCATCATACCTTAAAAATATTGCCATTATACACCTATTTTGTGTTTCTCATTCTCTCCATTCTGAAACGAAAACTGGACCATCAGAATTAGCAATGCAGAATATAATATTATGTGGCATTACACAGAGCAGGACATAAAGCCTTTGGCAAAGGTTGATATTTACAATGCAAGAATCATCCGTTTGGGCTACCAGCTGCCCTCGCAGCTCCACTTTTTACATGAAAAATCAATAATAATCTTATTGTTGTTAGAATTGGTCTGAAGAATTATTGCTTTTTCAACTTCTTTAGAGAGCCAAAAAAGTCCCCCACCCCTGGGACAGAGCTACTCTGGGCACCTCCAACAGCTTTTTTTACTTGTCATTATGACAAAGAGTTTTGTAAATTATGCCTCTTTGAAAAAGTTTGCTACACAGTAGTATGGCAACTGCCACCCATAAAATCCAGCCGCAAATTCCTTTAGTTATGCAGAATTACATACCGTATTTTTCGCTCTATAGGACGCACTTTTTCCCCTTCAAAATGAAGGGGAAATGTGTGTGCGTCCTATGGAGCGAAGAAGCCATAGCCCCGCGACCCTCTCCCGGCTGGAGAGGTGGCGCGCGACTATGGCAGGAGCCTCTTTAGCCGCACACCACCTCTCCAGCCGGGAGAGGGTCACGGGGGGCTTCTTTAGCTAAACAAGCCCCCGCGACCCGCTCCCAGCTGGAGAGGTGAGGCGCGACTACGGCAGAAGTCTCTTTAGCCGTGCACCACCTCTCGAGCCGGGAGAGCGCGCGCGCGGCTAAAGCAGCCCCCCGTGACCCTCTCCCAGCTGGAGAGGTGACGCGCGACTATGGCAGGAGCCTCTCCGCTGCGCGCCTTTCTCCGCTCCCCGACCTGCTCTTTGGGGCTGGTGGTGGGCTTCCCCCTGCCAGCCCCAAAGAGCAGGTCGAAAGGAACCTGAAGCCTGGAGAGCGAGAGGGGTCGGTGGGCACCGACCCCTCTCGCTCTCCAGGCTTCCAAGGTAGCCGCCTGAAGGCGACTGAACGCACCTTAAACGGCACCTTGTTTTAGAGGGGGAAAACAAGAGTGGGAAAATTCTCCCCCTCTCTGCGCAGCGCCTCCTGCCGCTTCGCTGAAGGGGCGCTGGGCAGAGAGGGGGAGAATTTTTTTTTCTTGTTCCCCCCCCTTTCTAAAACAAGGTGCGTCCTATTGTCCGGTGCGTCTTATAGAGCGAAAAATACGGTATTGTTCCTTCGGAACCTGGCCATTTTTTTATCCATTCTTTCCAGGATCCTAAGGCATTTTGTCACATCTTTTTCCTGCCCTTTGGACAGTCTTTACATCTTTCTCCCCTAAAAAAAATAAAATTGTTTTTTTAGAATAAACATGCACAGAAATAACATGGCTACTCATGCCTTGCAATGTTATTTTGCAAAGCAATGATAGCAGACATAAATCTAAGCTTGGTTCAGAGCACCATTAAGTATCAGTTCCTTTTTAAAAAAAATCTGTAATATACAAACATTGTTTGAGTAAATGAAAACGAGATTGACACGGAGCAAAACTGGCAGCATTCAGCTTTCAACTTTCAACAAGATTTATTTTGTCAAGAGTCATTATTTTACCAGAGCTGTGTGACTATCCATATTTATTTTTAAATATCATCCATTTTGTGTTTTCAGTAGCAACACAGTCCCCTAATTGTAATCGAAGCCTAAAAATCACCTGCCATAACTTCTCTGTAAATAAGCAGCCTCCAAATTTGAAATGAATCAAAGAAGCTGGAGGAGGTGGGGGAGAAGAGTGTGTTTTCCTTGCTTATTGACAAAGGACTGACATTTAATACAACTGGAACATCACCTGGCAGTGCTCAGGTATGAATTCTTTTTGAAGGAAACCTTACCTCAGACTCATCTGTAGATTCTTCATTGCACCTGGGCTCCTGAAGACAATACAAAAAAGGGAGGAAGGAAGGAAGGAAGAGGTTACAAATGCAGACATAATATGCAATGGACATGCAAAGGTTTGTTCAGAAGTACATGGGTATAGGATTTATGGCTATACTGTATTCCCCCATGGTCTTTTTTGCTTCTGGAAGTTAAAAGGCAAATAACTAGCAAAGATTTAGAAGATTCTGGTTATATTCTAAAAGAATCTGATTATATTCTAGATCAGTGGCGATGTTGATTTCTGCATCCTTTGTACCAAGATATGTTATGTGAAATCACACACTGATAGCAGATAATTGTCATGTTGTTGTGAGATACCTAAAGCAGACAACACACACAACGAGAACTATACTTATTCAGTTGTTTCTAGGAATGAAGAAGGCACCCCACCACCACCAGCGCAGAACAAACAGTTGTTTCTGCCGCTGTGGAGATTAATAACAAATGGAACATTTGCTTGAATCTAGCCCTTCATCTCGTACACCAGGTGATAGTAAGATTTAAATCTGGAGTCCCACAGATATAGCACATCCTTTAAAAACAAATGTTTCATCAGAACTTTACACACAGGCTTGTTCTTGTTTATCTAATGTATACTTTGTGGTTTCTCTGTGTTGGTCACACAAAAATACACTCATTGCATGCGTCTCCTACAGCCAGGTAGGGCTCCTCACTGTTGGGGTGTCTCTTCATTGTACGTGTCCCATCTCACAATCCCTTAAGTGGCAAGTGATTGATCTGCAAAGATGATACAGGCTTTCCATTTCTTTTATGAGGACCTGAATTATGCTGTTTTGGACTATTAGTCCGTTAGCCTAATACAGTGGTACCTCGGGTTACAGACGCTTCAGGTTACAGATGCTTCAGATTACAGACTCCGCTAACCCAGAAATAGTACCTCGGGTTAAGAACTTTGCTTCAGGATGAGAACAGATATTGTGCAGCGGCGGCAGCAGGAGGCCCCATTAGCTAAAGTGGTACCTCGGGTTAAGAACAGTTTCAGGTTAAGAACGGACCTCCGGAACGAATTAAGTTCTTAACCCGAGGTACCACTGTACTGCCCACTCCAAGTAGCAAACAGCAGTTTGGATATTGCCCTGCAGATAACAACTTCTGTGCATTCCAATACAGAGGTACCTCGGGTTACAGACGCTTCAGGTTACAGACTCCACTAACCCAGAAATAGTAACTCGGGATAAGAACTTTGCTTCAGGATGAGAAGAGAAATTGCACAGCGGCAGCGGGAGGCTAAAGTGGTACCTCAGGTTAAGAACAGACCTCTGGAACGAACGAAGTTCTTAACCAGAGGTACCACTGTATCTCGCTTCACTGAATTTGTATTAGACAAACCAACTGGTTCTTCTTCTCCTAACCATGATGGTTAGGCATTGGAGGCTGCAAGACTACCAACTGCTGGAAACCACAGAAGGGAAGAGTTGTTCTTGTGCTCAGGACCTCCTTAAAGGTTTCACATCTGCTTGGCCATTGTAAGAACAAGATGCTGGACTCAGTGGGCCATTGGCCTGATCCTGCAGGTTCTTCTTATGTTCTTCAGTGGTGAAGTCAATGTATTATTTTTATCCCACAGGGCACTCAAGGCCACTTCATATTAAGAAATAAACAAGCTAAACTTCTGTAACAAGGGACCAAACAGTGAAACATTCTCTCTTACAAGTGCATTTTGGGCTCTTCCTTGAGAAATTGTTAATGTATTTATTACGGCCAACCTTTCGCGTAACAATTTCATGGATGTCAGAGATGTTCAGCAACATACACACACAAACATATATATGCCATTATTGTTGGGTATATGGTTAATCCCACACACTTCTATTTCTGAAGACCTCTCTTCACTTTTGTGGCTCACATGAGATAGCTGTTTCTCTTTACATGAGAATTTTGATTACACTGGATTCCCTTTAAAGGATTGCTCAATTTAAATTCACTCAAGAACTCTCGGTGGCACGTATGTTAAAAACCAACGTTATTCTTGTTGTTACATTTCTCAAGCCGTCAAAGAACGTATGACTTAAAAATCTCTTCTTCACAAGGCAATGAATCTTACTGCCGCATACACACAAACACACACACAAGAAATTGAGTCTATTCTTGCTAATCTCTCACCTGTCCAGTGGTAAATTCTGCTGATGCCATGCCTCCACAGAGGTCAGCAAAATGAAGATTTACTTAACGCATTTACAGTTATCAATAGCAATAAAAGGTTACAACTAATATGCTGACAGTGAACGTAAGCATTTTAACAACTGCATGATGGAAACAAAGACTATACAAGAGAGAAGGCAGTTCAAACCTTATGAGGCAACATTTTGACAATAAGATGAATAACTGTAAGAGGGTGGGTGCTGGAGAAGGGGTGGGAGAGACCTAAAATGGCAAAATCCCCTGTCTGCGTTTACACCACAGGGTGAATTTTGGGCAGTAACATCACGAAATAGATTCTTGTTGAAACAACTTTTTGAAATCAAGACTGCTCTACCACTATGAGCTCTATAAAATTCACACCGGCCAGATACATGGTATAACATAATAACACTTCCAATATTGCAAAATTATTCTGAAACTCTTTTAAGTCCTAGCATCTGGTCTGCATAGGGCTGGAAAGCACTTCTAGTTCCTAGACACCTAAGGCAAGCCCAGCCGGGTTGGACCCAAAGCCCTCACTGTCCAATGTTCTGCTTCCATAGCGGACTTTGACATGCCTATAGGAATCCCAAGACAACAGGGCATAAAAGAGTACTCAGCTCATGACCCCCAGTGTCAGGGCTGGTTGAGACGCACGTCAGCATGGAGACTCCAATGAGCTGTAAAGATTATTCTTTGTCCAAGGAAACAGAATACAAACAGAGAAACCTAAGGCGAGACTGGCCCCAGTAAAGCAGTTGCCAGAACTGACTGCCTCCTAAGACTGTTTTCCTAACAGTCTTAAACTTTGTCAGAGTGGGGCTCCCTGCTGTGCTATATGCAAAGCCCTCTTGTGCCCTTGGAGACAAGGAAAGATGGGAGCTGAATACAGTAGGACTGGCAGACTCCCATGAATCTGTTGCAGCCTCCGTCCCCACCTCTTCCTTCTCAGCTGCCTGTCCCATGTCTACAGTGCTTTCTTCCTCTCTCTCACTCAAGCCTGATGCTTGTTCAGCATCCAACCATTCTGCCCACCCGCTCCTCAGACCTGTCTTCTGGGTCCTGCCACCACTCCTCTTCTGAGCATCCCTAGGTGGTTCTCCAGCTGGAGCCTCCCACCCACCACTCCTCGTCGTCCAGCCAGCCCCTGACACACAGCAACTGGAATTTAGTCATGCTACCTCTGATACTGGAAGTAATGCAGCCATCTAGACTAGCCCCAAGAATTTATCTTATTCCCTATCCATCACAATCTCAAGATCCCTTTCCTAGTTAATCACCACCAGTTCAGGCTCCATCAGAATATCAGAATATATGTGAAGTTGTTTCTTTCAGTATGTGTGTGGCTTCCTTCTCTCTTGTTGGCATTCTGATTATTTTGATTATTTGGTGGGATAATTGTTATTTGTCTTTTGTATCTGGACTTGACTGACATACTGTTTTTGCGAGTAAGATCATTCCAGGAGTGACCTGAAAATGAAAAGCGCCTGCTGATATGAGAAGACAGAAGTAGTATACATACATATAGAGACTGGTACTGACTGAGGCAAGGGGGACCTAGTTATCTCGAATTTTGACACTGGAACTAGGTTCAGAGGCAGTGCTGGCTCCTTGAACATCATGGTTTACAGATCTTCATAACACATTTCCTAGCCATTGATAGGTACTGTCAGAGCTGCTCCCCGATCCTAGCTCACAGAGGATCACGCTAGCCAGCGTTCGCTTTATAAAAGTCTTTATTGATTTACAGTTTCCATTTCCAAGCTGCTGCGTGCAACTCTACGTCTTATGGCTAGACCGGCGAAGCTCCGTCTGAGTCTCCGCCCCTCGTACACCAACTTAATATCCTCGCCTTACTCCACCTTTTCCGCCTGACCGTCCTTCTCTGGGTCCCTCTGCCCCCCGTGGTCTCCTCCCTCCGGGACTCCTCTGACGCTGACCCCCCGGACCCTCCTGTCTCCTTGCGTCGGGCTTTAGGACCTGGCTCCCTTTCCGGGCTGCTTACTGCGCCGCCTTCCTGTGCATTTGAACTTGGCGCGCGCGCCCAACCTTCCACTTTCCGCTTGACCGTTTCTTCGCTCCCCGATGGGGGTGTGGTCACTCCTGACTCATGCCCTCCTCCCTGCTGCGAGCTGCCAGGGCTCGATCCCTGACGTCCTTCCTCTCCACTGCGCTCTGGTGGGGACGCTGGCCCCGATTTCCAACTGCTGCCCTCTGAACCCCCGCTGGTCCTTTCCTCCTGGGGTGTCCCCCTAGGCCCCCCCTTTGCTCTGGCCACTGGCGCTCCTTTCTGTGAATCTTCCGATTCACTGGAAAGACTCGGAGATCTCGGGTCGTCGTCATCACTCATCCTTTCTTCGGACTCCTCCCCCTCGCTCTCTGTTTCCTCCCTTGCCCTCGCCTCTGCTCCTGACAGGTACCTATGCAAAACAAAGTCCCTTGCAACCATGATGGTTTGTATCTATTCAGAAGTGATCATAATGTCATGGTTAAGCACCAGGAAAGAAACAAAGGAGAGATGAGAAATCACTCTGGAAAGGGAGTGGTCATGTATTCATGAGGCTGGATCCCGATTTGCAACCCATGCTTTGCAGAAAGCCAGCTCCAGGGACTGATATTTACAAATGTAAAATACTACTGAGAACTAGCAATAATATAGTTTCCTGAAACATTTGTGTGTGTACGCATATAAATCTAGTAAGTCACATTATTAACAAATGAACAAAACAAAAGAAATAATCCAGAGGGGTTCCCCCCCCCCAAATGGCCCAGCGTCTTGCTTTGTCTGTCTTCCAGTATAATATTCCTCTCCCAGTCAAAGATAAACTTCTTTTCCTCCCACTGCTCTGCCTTTGATCCTCTTGTGAACCATGGCAGACAGCAAGCAGCAGTCAACTGTGACACCTGTCACTCTGTCTCAATATTACATCCAGCTCCCAGATTCCAAAAATCCTACCTTAAACCTTTCCTACTGGGATTTTGAAAAACTGGCCTAAAAACAGAGTCCGTCAGCGTTAGCATATATTGATTCTCTTTCCTGACTACCAAAAAAAAGAATCTAGATGGACCTGAATTCTCTAGAGACAGAACAATTCTCCAGAGAAGAACTCCTGTAGATATAAACCCCCTCACACCATTGTTGTTCTTGCAAGCAATTAAATATGCAGGACAGCATTTTAAAAAGCAAACAATATGGTTACACACATCAGGTTTCATATAGTTATATAAATTAAACATCTGCTTTTTAAGCAAAATAAAAAATGAAACCACCAAGATTTAGGTGCTGTCTCTTAAAGCCAAGCACTCAAGCATTTGCAGAAGCAGTACCATGCCTGTTACTTGTAAACATGTGTGCACACACATGCAAGCATGTTCATCAAATGAAATGAGAGATGATCATCTACATGAATCTTTTAAAAAAGAATTTAACTGTAAATCTGCCTGCTAATATTCTAATTGCCATTATTAAGGATAGAACAGCACATAAGCAATTTTTTGTTTCCTTATAAAATCATTTACAGCCTGCTTTTTCACCCTGAAATAGAACTTCCATACGTAGTAGCTTACAGTGAAACATGAATACATGTTTTAAGGTAGGACAATAAGTCCTTGCTCTATTGTTCCCCAGCAACAGTTGCTGACAGACATGCACCCTCTAATCCTGGAAATAATATGTGGCCTAGTGACTAGCAGATATTGACAGCCTGATTGTCCATGAATTTGTCTAATCCCCTTCTGGAGCCATCTAAGTGGGTAGCCATCAAAAAGTCTTATGACAGCAAATTCCATTGTTTAGCTATCTGATGTGTAAAAGTAGTGAGTCCACAAAAGTTCCTAGCTTTCAAATACATTTACTAGCCTGCTGTGGGCTGGCAGAAGAGGAATGGCAAGCTCCAGTCCTCCTGGAGCATTTTGATGCATTTCTGTGCTGGCTGCAGAGGACGGATGGAGCACTCGCCTACCAGACCACTCACTCACCTGCCTGCATCCTTCTTGGCTGTGACTACCAGGCTTAAATATAACTCTGGATTAATTGACAAGATTGTCTCCAGGTCAACTAATGAGTTTCAAGGCTAAAGTGGAAATTTAACGAAGGAATTTAGGACTAGTATAACTAGGAAGTGTAGCTGCTCATTTGAAATTTACTTGCCCTCCCATTTTACCTTGTCAAGGCAATTTTTTTAAAATGCCTTTCTGAAATCAGATCAAAGGTTTCTAAATCTTAGTGATGCTATAGAGAACCTCTACTAAACAAGTTAACTGTTTCCTATACCGCAGTGTGGATCGGTTGCAAATCACATTGTGAACGATATATACTGTTTAAAGATGGCTTCAGAAACCAATGTGCACATTATAGCTTTTAAAGACTAACAGTGGAAGTCAATTTACTCAAACATAAGTCATACTGTAAGGGACGCGGGTGGCGCTGTGGTCTAAGCTACTGAGCCTTGGGCTTGCCGATCGGAAGATCGGCGGTTCAAATCCCCGCGACGGGGTGAGCTCCCGTTGCTCGGTCCCAGCTCCTGCCCACCTAGCAGTTTGAAAGCATGTCAAAGTGCAAGTAGATAAATAGGTACTGCTCCAGAAGGTAAACGGCATTTCCGTGAGCTGCTCTGATTTCCCCAGAAGCGGCTTAGTCATGCTGGTCACATGACCCGGAAAAACTGTCTGTGGACAAACATCAGCTCCCTCGGCCAGTAAAGCAAGATGAGCGCCGCAACCCCAGAGTCATGCATGACTGGAATTAACTGTCAGGGGTCCTTTACCTTTTTAAGTCATACTGTGCTTTGTGGGGTTTACTCATAGCAAAGTGTTCACATGACTGTAGTCCAAGTCCTAATCATATATTATTAATATTAAATTAAAACTGTAAATAAAATGCTAGCTGTTATGTATACTTTAATATTTGGAAAACAAAGATTCCAAAGGTTTTTAAAACATCACAGTTGCCAAGGAAATGAATATACTAATATAAAATTTGTTAACTGCTTAGACATGCTATTTGCAATCAGGAAACATATAAATTTTGTTAATAAAGACAAGCCAAATGAAGTGACATTTTTGTATGTAGCCATCTGTTTCCCTGATACTAAGCATATGTGTTGCACAATCTTATTCCCAGTGCTTTTTTTCAGGGGGGACGCATACCCCTTAAACATTTTGTGAATCTAAGTTTGGTCTCATTGAGAGGCAATATTTCAATGCGAGTAGGAAAATGAGAGAACTCCTAAAAACATTTTCTTTAGAAAAAAACCCCTGCTTATTCCAATTTATTTGGAAGTCATTCCCACTGATTTCGGGTTGCGAACGTGATCTGTGCGGGAGGCACATTCACAACCCGCAGCAGCGTGTCTGTGCACACATGGGTTGCGATTCGGTGCTTCTGCGCATGCACAAAGCGCGATTTAGCGCTTCTGCGCATGCGCGACTGCCAAAACCCAGAAGTAACCCGTTCTGCTATTTCCAGGTTTTGGTGGGTGCATAGCCCGAAAAAACGCAACCTGAAGTGGCTGTGAGCTGAGGTATGACTGTACAGTGGTACCTCAGGTTAAGTACTTAATTCGTTCCGGAGGTCCGTTCTTAACCTGAAACTGTTCTTAACCTGAAGCACCACTTTAGCTAATGGGGCCTCCTGCTGCCGCCGCGCCGCCGGAGCACGATTTCTGTTCTCATCCTGAAGCAAAGTTCTTAACCTGAAGCACTATTTCTGAGTTAGCGGAGTCTGTAACCTGAAGCGTATGTAACCTGAAGCATATGTAACCCGAGGTACCACTGCACTGACAAGAGCAACAGGACCCCTAAGCAATTCCCCCCCAGCCCAAGCTGCTGCTCCCAGCCCCCCAACATCATGGGGGGGCACTTTCCTGAATTCCCCCCTTCCTGCTCCCTCCAGCACCCCTCCCCTAACTCTGCATGACTCAGGCCCCCAGTCTGCTCCCCCTTGTTCCAGTTATTTGTGGTTTCGGGGGTTCCTTTAAAATGAAGAGCTGCGTGCAAAGGGGCTCCATCCCTCCAGGCCCCCGGCTGGGGGAAGCGAAGGGGAGCCCCCCCCCCAAGCCCCTCACGGCCAGCCCCAAATCCCCTCTCGGCCCCTCTCGGCCCTCAGCTTCCCTCCTCTCGGCCCCTGCAGGGCAAAGCTCTCTACCTGCGGCTCCGCTTCCGCCATGGCGCCGGCGACGGTCACGTGAGAGCGCCCGGGAGCGAAAGGCACGCTGGGAGATGTAGTCTCTGCCGTCTCCGCCGGCCGCCTTGCGCTTTAAAATTCACATAACAAGAAAATCTTCACACTCACATTAACAGAAAAGAAAACAATACATAAAATATGAATTTAAAAAGAACTAAAAATAAAAATAAAAAGATTTGAAAGAGGGGAAGCGCACAAATTATTAATCAAATATACAAAATTATTTTAAGGATTACAAACCATAATTTAAATACTCTATACCGAAATTCCTAGAGTAACGTTACCTTCATATTCTATCTTTCTCTCTTCTTTACCGTCACATTCTTACTATTCTCCTAAACTGGTTTAAGTCCCTTCTATGTTATTAGACTTCCCTCTGTCTCTTTGCGGTTTCCATATTTCTTTGGCATTCAACTTATCTGTATACCATTGTTGAAAAGCTAAATTCCCTTCTATCTGTGAAGTTAGTCTAAAGGTAAAGGTAAAGGTACCCCTGCCCGTACGGGCCAGTCGTGTCCGACTCTAGGGTTGTGTGCCCATCTCACTTAAGAGGCCAGGGGCCAGCGCTGTCCGGAGACACTTCCGGGTCATGTGGCCAGCGTGACGAAGCTACTCTGGCGAGCCAGAGCCACACACGGAAACGCCGTTTACCTTCCCGCTAGTAAGCGGTCCCTATTTATCTACTTGCACCCGGGGGTGCTTTCGAACTGCTAGGTGGGCAGGAGCTGGGACCAAACAACGGGAGCGCACCCCGCTGCGGGGATTCGAACCGCCGACCTTGCGATCAGCAAGTCCTAGGCACTGAGGTTTTACCCACAGCGCCACCCGTGTCCCGAAGTTAGTCTAGGCACAGCCAAGTGTTGTTGTTGGAACCATATTTTGTTAGATAATTATTAAAGCAATCCCATTCTTTTTGACTCTTATCACCTGAGTGAAAATTAATTCTTATTTATTATCTATTATTATTATTATTATTATCTTATTATTTATTAATTATTATTAATTATTATTAATTCCGTCATTTTAGCAAGTTCAAGGTACTCACACAGCTTCACTTGCCATTTGTCTTTTGTTGGTGTTAACTCATTTTTCCATTATTTTGCTATTAACATTCTGGCTGCTGTTATCGCGTAAAGAGACACTCCTTTTTGCCTGAGCAGGACTCGAACCCACGGCCCTGAGTTTTAAGTCCCGTGCTCTGCGCTCTGAGCTATCCCAGGCTGCCCAAGAGAGATTGCCGCTGGATTCAATAGGGTTTAAGGTTGCACTTTATGGATATATGTTGATTTATTTTCAAGGGTGATATCTAGGGGCAGAAATAAAAAAGTCTCCAGCAGTACAGGTATTTGTCATTTTTGAGTCAGCAGCAGTTAACTGCAAAGGTGGGTTGAGTGCAACAATATGAACAATAGAACAAATAAACTCTTTGCGATCACGCACGCATGACCCCACCCCCTCCAAATAAAATTATCCTTTGGTTAGCAATCCACACAAAAGTGCATCCTCCCTTATAGCCCTTCAGCAAAACCCTGTTTCAAGTGGGAGAAAAACATCCTTTAGAAGTTATTTAAGTGACCACTTAAATGCAAAAGCCTTTGACTGTGTCGACCACAGCAAACTATGGCAAGTTCTTAAAGAAATGGGAGTGGGTGATCACCTCATCTCTCTCCTGAAAAATCTCTATGTGGGACAAGAAGCTACAGTTAGAACTGGATATGGAACAACCAATTGGTTCAAAATTGGGAAAGGAGTACGACAAGACTGTATATTGTCTCCCTGCTTTTTTAACTTATATGCAGAATTCATCATGCGAAAGGCTGGGCTGGATGAATCCCAAGCCGGAATTAAGATTGCCGGGAGAAATATCAACAACCTCAGATATGCAGGTGACACAACCTTGATGGCAGAAAGTGAGGAGGAATTAAAGAACCTTTTAATGAGGGCCAAAGAGGAGAGCGCAAAATATGGTTTGAAGCTCAACATCAAAAAAACGAAGATCATGGCCACTGGTCCCATCACCTCCTGGCAAATAGAAGGGGAAGAAATGGAGGCAGTGAGAGATTTTACTTTCTTGGGCTCCATGATCACTGCAGATGGTGACAGCAGTCACGAAATTAAAAGACGCCTGCTTCTTGGGAGAAAGGCGATGACAAGCCTAGAGAGCATCTTGAAAAGCAGAGACATCACCTTGCCAACAATGGTCCGTATAGTTAAAGCCATGGTTTTCCCAGTAGTGATGTATGGAAGTGAGAGCTGGACCATAAAGAAGGCTGATCGCCAAAGAATTGATGCTTTTGAATTATGGTGCTGGAGAAGACTCTTGAGAGTCCCATGGACTGCAAGAAGATCAAACGCATCCATTCTTAAGGAAATCAGCCCTGAGTGCTCACTGGAGGACAGATCGTGAAGCTGAGGCTCCAATACTTTGGCCACCTCATGAGAAGAGAAGACTCCCTGGAAAAGACCCTGATGTTGGGAAAGATGGAGGGCACAAGGAGAAGGGGACGACAGAGGATGAGATGGTTGGACAGTGTTCTCGAAGCTACAACATGAGTCTGACCAAACTGCGGGAGGCAGTGGAAGACAGGAGTGCCTGGCGTGCTCTGGTCCATGGGGTCACGAAGAGGCGGACACGACTAAACAACAACAAAGTGACCACTGTAAGCAGATGGAAACAAGAGCAGGATTTTGATTCGTTTGTAGTGTAAAAATTATAATGGGCAATATGGTTTGATATAAAATCTGGAGTACAGATGAATATGCAGTTGTAGATGTTTAAATTGAGACTCCATGGGGGGGATGGGGGGAAGTCCCAAGATTTGGAGAATCTCTTTATTTAGTTGTGTAAGTATCGCTTTGTTTATTTACGTTTTGTGTTTGTAAAACCAATATTTCACACATACAAAAAAACAACAACACACAAGTGGGGGACAAAGAAGATAAATAAGTATTCCAAATGCTCACATCGCATGAGGATTCTTCCTTATTAATATAACTCTTAAAAGAGCTCCAAGTTGAAGCAAAGGTGTCTGTAAAAGTACCATAACTCTTAATTTGGGGGTTAGCTTCTCCATTAATGTGATAGAACACACTTTTACTTGTATAAAAGAGCAGTTCCACTTGTGTTCCTCTAGTGTTTAGTGATAGTCTTGCTGTCGTTAATACGGGCCCAGTTAGATCTTAATCTCACTGTATGTAGGATTTGCAGGTAAAGTTTCTAATAAAAATCCAGATAAAAGAGGGACTGCCTGTGCAGCCCAGTTCTCTTGTTCTAAATTTTTAAATTACAGTAAACAAAAACAAAACATCATGCTAATATTATTAATAATAAAAACAGCCATAAGAGCAAGAATAATGTATATTTACTCAGATATTGGTCTTGCTTGCTGAGTTCCTAGAACCACAGCCTTATTCTGCTGGTTAATAAATGAATAAAGGAAAAAAGAAGTAATTGAATTATTGGGTAAGTATTGCTTTTACTTTTGTGTTATTAAGCCCTTTGGAACTAAGCCCTGCAGAATATGGATTAATGCCTCCTTTTGAAGCAGGACAGTCCTTCATTATGGCCTTTTTCAAACTGGTGGTCTTGCTTTCCAGGAAATTATGTGTCCATCTTGTGGTAGAGTCTCTTCCACACCTCAAGCTGCAGCAGCAATTAAATCAAAAAGGTTTGTTGAAAAATTATTACTTTGAGATCTGCTGGTCCCTTCTGTTATCTGGGGACAGGACCCAGTAATACTGGTGTTCCATGGGGCTAAAGCAAGCAAATAAATAACCGGAAAAAGGAAATAAAAAGTAATATTTCACACTGGTTCACCTGCGCTCCTTCCCCACGTAACAGAAGGTGTTAACAGTAGCTTTGGTGCACAGAATATAGCTTAATTAGAGAGGCAGCATGTCACCTCTTTGCAGTTGTGTGTTTGTGTGGAAAAACAGTGCAGCCTCTGAATACCTTTTTTTAAAGTGGGACACCTCCTGTATTCAAGGAGGACATAGCCCTACCAGCTTCATCTTTTCATGCAAACAGGAATGTTCTGTGCAAGAGTGGCACATGCAATTATTATTATTATTATTATTATTATTATTATTATTATTATTAATACCCCGCCCAACTGGCTGGGTTTCCCCAGCCACTCTGGGAAGCTTACAGCATATAAAAATTTGTAAAACATTAGGCATTAAAAAATTCCCAATACAAGGTTGCCTTCAGATGTCTTCTAAAAGTCAGATAGTTGTTTATTTCCTTGACATCTGATGGGAGGGTGTTCATTTATTCATTTCATAGCATTTATGCACCGCTCGAGTTTAAAAAACCATCAAAGTGGTTTACAAAAAGATAAAACAAGAAAACCAAGAAAAATTAACAGCCCTGCTTTAAAGCACGCAAACATAAAAATACTAAAACAGATTAACATTGCCTCAACTTTCTAAGCATCTGGCTCGGCTTGTCAAAACAAGGATGTTTTTAGTGGGCACCAAGAAGAGTGCAGTGAAGACTCTTGCTTCATCTCAAGAGGCAGGGAGTTCCAAAGGGCAGGTGCTGCCACACTAAATGTGTCCTTTTTTCCTGCCTGGGTTTCTGTGCTTTTAATAAGTGCACAAGAAGCAGTAAAAAAATCAAAAGGTGTTGATTGCAATGGCATTGCAACGGTGGGTAAGAATTTACCTGCTTGATTTCTACCAGGCAGGCAGATGCTTAAGACACAGGAGCTTTCATGCTAGATTGAAAAAGGTGCCAACTTTCGTAGGCATTATAGTGATTTAGGTGTAAGTAAACATCATAGAAAGAAATATTAATTTTGCTTACTGCCACCTGTTTCCATGTTTAAGGATTCTGAATCTGGTGATTTTCTCTGCTCATATGCCCCCTGTATATTAACATGTATTTCGTTCTCACTTTTTCCTGTCTGATCCCACTACATCAAGCTTTGATGATGTTGCTATTCATGTTAAATAGATCACAGTCAAAACTCATTTGTATTTTACTCTGAGAAACGTTTGATTTTTCCTTCTGACATATATG